TTAGTTTGTCGAGATCTGGTGAATGTCCCGACCAAACTTCTTCAGGTGTCTTCATATCTAATGCAGTCGAAGGACATTTATTTATCAGATATGTTGTTGTCAAAATAGCCTCATCCCAAAACACATTCTTTAACCTAGCACTAGTCAACATACATCTAACTCTCTCCAAAATAGTTTGATTAAACCTTTTAGCCAAACCATTTTGTTGTGGAGTACATGCAGTAGTTATGTGCCTTGTCATACCAGAGGCAACACAAAAACTGTCGAAAGCCTCATTGCAAAATTCAAGGCCATTGTCAGTTCTCAACCTCTTGACCTTTCTGCCAGTTTGATTTTCGACCAGAGTCTTCCAACTTTTAAAATTCTCAAAAGTTTCATCCTTAGTCTTCTGGATGAATACCCATTACTTTATGGAATAATCATCTAATATGGATAGAAAATACCTTGCTCCTGAATGTAATGGACACCTTTCAGGCCCTCAAAGATCAGCAAGGATGTAATCAAGGGATCTATGTGTTCTTTGTTTTCCTTTGTTAAACTTCACTCTACAAGATTTTCCAAGTACACACGGTTCATAAAACTTCAACTTTTTGACTTTATCTCCACCAAGAAAATTTTGTTTCCCCAATTTGACCAAACCCCTTTTAATGACATGGCCCAATCTCATGTGCCAAATTTCTGTCTTCGACAAAAGTTTCGTGGATGCAACATTTGTCGAACGACTTACAACTTCAACCTCAAGGGTATACAAGCCTTATTTCTTTACGCCTCTTAAGACTTTCTTTGAACCCTTCGAGACTCTTGGGATACTTTTCTCTCCTTGGAAGACATATCCTTTCTTGTCGAATTCACCAAGAGAAATCAATTTTCTCTTCAAATCAGGTACATACTTGACTTCAGTCAACAACTTTATTAACTCATCATGGAGCTTAAATCTCATAGATCCAACACCTGCAATCATGCAAGCTTTGTTGTTTCCAAGTAATGCATATCCACCATCTTGATCACATAATTCCTCAAACAAGTCCTTGTTTGGAGTCATATTCCAAGTGCAACATGAATCCATAATCCACTCTTTTCTTGAGTCGCTGCTCGAAACCACAAGAACATCATATGAGTCAAAATCATCTTGAAAAATAGTTGCATTGCCATTATAATTTCCTCCGTGATCTTTCAGGCATTCAAGGCACACTTTTCATGTATGACCCACCTTCTTACAGTGATAACATCGAATACCAGGTGCATCACTACTATAAGACTTCGACTGACCTTTTCCCTTCTTCTTATCAAACTTACCATCCTTTCACAAGAATTTTCCTTTAACGATCACACCTTCACCAACCGTCAAAGGTTTATGCTCCTTTCATTCGTTCAAGTCCTTAAAATACAAGGCTAATTGAACCTCTTCAAAGCTCAGGACTCTCTTCCATACAAGAGAGTTTCTTTGAAGTGAGCATGTGATCTGGGCAACACACACAACAACAACAATGTTTAATCTTCATCATCGATCTTGACATAGATATTTTCAAGATCAAGAATCATCTTGTTTAACATATCCAACTGCTCAGCCAATACTTTATCTTCAATCATCTTGAATGAATACAGAGCTTGCTTCATGTAAAGTCGATTTACCAGTGATTTAGTCATGTAAAAACTTTCAAGTTGCACCCATAACCTTGGCGTCGTCGTCTTATTTTATACCTGTCAAAGAATCTTATCACCAAGGCTCAACAAGATAATGTTGTGGCTTTCTCTATCATGGTCGTTTTCTCAGTTGTTGTTAACTCAACGTTCATGGCTGTCTCTCTCTTCAACACTTTCAAAAAACCCTATCGAACCGGTAAGGCTTTTATCTTCAAGCGCCACAAACTGAAATCATTCACTCCGGTAAACTTTTTAATCTCATACTTTGTTGAAGGCATCTCTTCCACGCTCGTCGCACCAATTTGTTGTGAAAATGATGCATTGGAAATAAAGTATAAATTGTTTCTTTATGATCAAGAAACACACAAGGGTAGAAAAGAATGATAAGAACTAAGAATAACAAGGATTGATTATAATTGCTCTTCTTTACTTTCTATTTAAACAGGATTACAAGTGTTACAAGAATAACAAATAACCTCTCACACCCTAAATTTGGATTTACAGTATGCAATGATGAGAGACTAGTATGTTATTTATAATAAACCTAACATACTAAACTAATGGGCTTTTTTCTTCCACAAATACCCATTACAAGCTAACTTAGGGAACAAGCTAACTTAAACAATTAAACATAAAAAGTAGGCCTAATTTGACATGCTAACAACCCTAAAATTTTCGACAACTGCATGCTTGACCATACTTTGACTACAACATACATTACTTCGACACCAGCATATGAGAGACCTTCAACTGCATGGTAACCTCTGTCGAACTTATCGAACCACGAAGCTACCTTTCGACCCAATAGAGTTTGATCCAATATCTTTCACAATTTTTTATTAATATGCTTAGACATGTAAACGAAATTGTTATTTATGAGTCTCAATCACGTTTTGTTAAATACAGGCAGACCACAGATGACAATCTTATGGCTTATAAAAGGTGGACGATGCACGTAGTTTGAAAAAGGAAGGTTTTCAGAGTGAAGATTTTGGGAAGTTTAATTTTTGGTATCCTCTGATTGATCATCTCAAAAGAAGGTTGTCATGGTGGAAGAGCCATTTTCTATCTATGGGGGGTCATCTGATTCTTATTGAGTTTGTCTTGTTTTCCATTCAAGACTACTTTCTTTCCTTTTTCAAGGCGCCTCTGGTATCATATCTTCTTTTAAATCTCTTTTTAATGCATTTTTTTGGGGAGGGAGTGAGGAAGTCACAAAAAATTCCTGGATTAAATGGAATACTATTTGTTTTTAAAAAAGAAAATGGAGGTCTAGGGGTAAGATGGTTGAAGGAGTTTAACTTAGCCTTACTTGGTAAATGGTGTTAGGGGATTCTAAATGAGACGAGAAGTCTTTGGTATAGGGTATTGTGTGTTCAAAATGATGAGAAATGGAGCAATTATGTTTTGTGGTAATAATGGTTCTATTTGGTGGAGGAATTTGAAAAGCATAAGGGAGTGTGTTAGATTGGTTCATGGAGGTGGTTGCTTGATAACATTGAACGAAGAATAAAATATTGGTCTACTACTTTATTTTAGAGATATCATTGACTTGATAGTACATCTTGGAAGATAAGAATTAGTATGTTGTTTGATTTAGTTGAAAATAAAATGTTGATAGTAGCATAAATGAACGAGTAAGGGTGAGGTGAACGGTGAGGCGTGGACGTGACGTAGTAGGTTGCTTGCTTGGGGATAAGAGCTAGTGGCAGAGTGTATTGAGCGGTTAATCTCAGTTGTTTTACAGGTGGGTGTAGAAGATCTTTAGGTTTGGATTTGACATCATTCTTCTTGCTACACGGTCAGTAATACTTATAATTTTCTTTGAAGTTAAAGTCAACAACAATCAGGTTAACTCCCAATTTTTGTGGTTGAAGACTGCACCACTTAAGGTATCTATTTTTCCTGGCGGTTGTTTCTGAATCGTAGTATGACTAAGACAATCTGGCTAGGAGGCAAATTCTTGCCACGAACGATCAAAGATGTGTGGCGAATTATGCCAGGGATGAAGACATTGATCAATTGTTTGTAACATGTGATTTTTTCGGTAGGTTGTGGGCTATTAATTTTTAAATGGTTAGGGTTATCTACGACATCCCAAGGAATAGTTTTGGATCATTTCTTGCAAATTGGTCGGCTCAGTGGTTTTGTGAAAAATGTTCAATTGCCTTTTAGCACTATTTGGTTCGCGGTAGTTTGGACTATCTGAAAAGAGCAAAATAGACATATTTTCATAATAAAGCAGAGCAATTACAAAGATAAAATACGTTTCTTTCAATTAATGATTATCAATCATAAAGGTTAAATCTTTTATATTTACTTATCAACTATTATGTAGATGACTTTTTGCTATTTTTTTTCTTCAGAATTTTAAATTCTTTCTTATCATTATCAATACATCTCGTGTTAGATTGACTTGTTTTGATTAATAATATATTTTACTTTGATTTTTAAAAGAACAATAGTAAATCTCAAATTTAAATACAATCTTCGTTATTTCACAAATTACTAAGAAACATTAATCTACTAGACAAATATCCAACTTTAATAGGTGGCAATATCTAAACGAAAAGAAATACAAGGGACATGAATTATTAAATAGATGCAAAATATATATGATTCACTTATTCGTTGTATAGACAATATATTTCCTTTTATATATCCCATTCTTGACTTGGGAGCGAAGCATGATCTTCAATAACCTGAAGGAAAAAAAATAAGAAAAAGAAGGTAAAAAATCAGAGTTAAGATTTCCTCTATTTTATTTTTTTATTTTCTCTCTTTATTATTATAGTTTAAAAATATATAGTGTATAAAAATTAAACAGACCCATCAAATATCACATTATTACATTTATATTCTTATTATTTTAATAATGCACAAAATGGAGGAAGATTAACTTAAAAAATCAAGAGATGGACACTTACAAAAATCTTGTGATAATTTTTTATCTTTAGTACAAATTGTTTAAAATATAAAAAATATTATTTTATTTTTTATTAAAAATATTTTCTCTCTCGTTCTTTTCTATTAATATTTACAATACAATATATTATAAACTATTTAAAATACACTTTTAACTTTTATTAAAAATATACTCGTTTTCTCCTATTCTATTAATATTTACATTTATAAATGATATTATGATAAATTTTATATTGTTTTATCTATTTTATTTGCTGTCCATCAAATATTGTACAAGACAAAAAAATATTCAGTATTTTAAAGATTTAAAATTTGTCTTAAAAAGATAATAAAAAATTAATTATACATTTTTCCATTTAATTTTTAACTTTTACTCTTGATTTTTTAGCAATAATCATGTTTTGAAAAAAAAATACACAAATAATCATGTTTCAGAGAAAATTATGCAAATAATCATATTTCAGAATTGATTTATATGGAGGCGCCAACTCAAATGACGCATGCTTTGGAACTTTGGCCACAAGCCCCATCTCATTTGACACATACACTTCTTTTATGCTATGTGAGATGGCACATGCTTCATAATTTTGGGAGGAGGCGCCATCTGGGATGACTCCTAATGCAAGTGTGTTTTCTATAAATAAAACACTCATTGCTGTCGAGAGGTAAGATTTCTTGATAAAACAAGAAAGTATAGTTGGGGTTCCGCTGTTTTAGCCCATCTATACAGTTCATTATGTAAAAACGCAACAAACGATAAATGTACTTTTTATGGATGCGCTTTCTTGCTTCAAGCATGGGGTTGGTGGAGAATGAAGTCCCTTAACCCCATCAACAACCATCAATTCATTTTTCGCTACGCAACAAAGCAAGTCAATAACGTGAATAATTTATTATTCATCTCTTTGCAAAATAGATGTATAAAATTAATTATTTTTTCCATTCCTTTAGGTATTGTGTAAAGGGTATGGATTACAACAAGAACCCAAGATTCAATGTCGCTCTATATCATAATCTTTTGGATCATCTTGGCTCGGATGATGTATGTAGTACGTCTAAACTTTTCTACTTCTAACATATTTATTTTTAAAGTTATTATTATTCTGATTAATTTTTATCCACAGTTTATTTGGAGACTATATTTGGATTTGGACCATGAACCCAACCCCGAGGATGCAGCAATTTAGACTGCAAAGACTGCAATTATATGGTTCAACATTATGAAGATGCATCACATCGACCATGTCAAGATGCATTTTAGAATGCATCAAGAAATACCATGCGATCCAACTTGTTTGTCACCTTGGCATCTCAAAAGGATCGACGCCCAATGTGGTGTTAATAAGTGAAAAGATTTCGCTTCAGAATGGTGTGAGAGGTGGCATAGGCATCACCAACATGTCTTACAATTCCTTGTTTTCCTCAACCAGATTAATATGCGACACAGAGATCAATATATTGATTGGTACAGATCGGTTACTAACCCTGAAATGCACGTGTCTCACCCGAAGTATTTGATTGACCCACACACACAATAGACACAATCATACACCACCAAACAACAACCCCAACAACAAATTCAACACACATCAACCTCCCACCAAACACAACGACGATACAGATCCACCAACACCCAACCCCAAACCCAAGACCAATACCAATACACACACATGCCCCACATACAATCGCAGTACCAAAAACAACGATCATACATCTGGCATCCCGATGTAGGCCCCTCGTTATCTTAGCTTAGCCCAGACCTTGGCATACCTGAAGAATATTCATCAACCAACCCAACTTACCATCAGTCATCCTATCACCATAGCACCCAACAATCACAGTACCAATCCCCACAAAATTAATGTCCTTTTTATCCCCTTATTGAGACGACCAGTGCTATCGACCCCTTATGGAATCCCACCCCTAACCAATACAATCAAACTTTGAGGGCATGGGTAACCGACTATTTAGAAGCGGATCTCCCGGATATGATGATCTGACGACTTTCATGGATCATGAACGCATTAACTTCGCATGGCCTTCGATCCAACCGCAACAGGAAAATCGTCGAAACGCACCACGAGTTAGGTGAGGGCGCGAGTGCAGAATCATGAGTCGTTATCGAGTCCCTGAAGACAACTAAATAATATATAATTTTTATTCTCATTATGTAATCGTTTAATTATGATTTAAAATCAACTTTCATTTGCAATGACATTGTCTTTTATTTCTTTAACAATAAATAAATAAAAAATGAATTTGCACCTAGGCGCCATCTGAGATAGTTTAGGGTAAATCACATGCACCTAGGCGTCATCTCATTTGACGCCTCCTTTAAAAAAATTAATATACACCATTTGAGATGGCTACTGTATAGTAACGTTTTCTGAAACATATTTATTTACGTAATTTCTTCCAAAATATGATTATACATTATTATTTATGTATTTTTTTCAATATCCTTATTTTAAATTCAAAAAAATTTGATGTCCTGTCACTTTTTTTTATACGGAAAAATAAATTAAATATCTATTTTTCTATCTATAAAATTTTTTATAAAAAAATTGTATATAAAGATATGTCACATTTCACAAGTGGGAGATCATTTAAAATGGAAATACAGTTATTTTAAAATCCAAAAATGTGAAAGAGATAAAAACTATCTAAATTTAAAAATCAAAACTAGCTTCATCAATAAGCTAAAATATATGGACCAATAGTGTTAATTTAATATAAAAGAATGCAAAAATATGTACCCAATTAAACGGTAGACGAAGAAGGAGCATCATCATTTTCACTAACAAGTTTAAATTCCTGCACTTCCTTAAAGTTCAACCATGGCTTTTCCAAAATCTTAGCTTCATACACCTTTTGTTTCCCACCATCCTTTGTCTCCAAAACGATGTCGTACAAGGTTCCAGAAACCACTTGTTTTTTTGCACTTAAAACTCTCACAAATTCCAAAACTCCATTCTACATAAACAAATAATAAATTCAATCAAAATTTAATCAATTAAAAAAATCTATATTGCACCAATATTTATAATTATTTTTAATTTATTTATTTTTTCAAACGTTCATTATATTGTCAAATAGTATTTGGAGTGTTTGTGTTTCACATAAAACAAAAGATTAATAGCATCAAAGTAATTAAAATTAGTATGAACTGAATCAAAACCTGTTTTATGTTGTGTTCTTGAACAGCAAAGAGAGCAAGGTTATTGATCTCAACGCTGTTTTGTGTATATTCCACCACATCACTAGTGCCACCTAAAGTTGCCATAACTAATTTCTTTCTCTTTGGATGTGTTTTGTTTTGTGTAGTTGTTTTATAGAGTTGTTGAAAGAGTGATTAGAATTTGGATTTAGGTTAGTCAATAATGGCGGTTTGAATTTTTTTTAATTAATTAGATTATTGATTACGCTACGTGTTACTAATTGGATATTATTATCTTTACGTTTTATATTATTTCTTTGACTTAGAGAGAGAGTAACCAAATTGATAATATGGAAATAAAGTTTCTTATTGAAACAATGAATGATTACCGGCAAATCATCATTTGACACTAAAAACATGGATAGTTGATTAGTTTTTCTTGCTAGATAACTATATATACACTTATTTTAAATAGTATTAAACTTATTCACATCCATCGTATCCATTTGAGTTTTTTAAATGTGAACTACATAATTTTTTATATTATTTCACACTTTTCAATTTTTTATACAACTCATCTACAATTATCAAATATCCATGTAATTCATCAAAAAATCTAAAATGGGTCTCACATTTAAAACAAATCAACTACATTCTTGCAATTTTATTTATTAATTTATTATCATGACCCACTTAATTGGAGTGTAAAAGCGTGCTTTAGTATGAGGATGTGCTTTAGTTCAGGAACGTGAAAACAAGTGATATCCATTTATTATTGACACAATTTCTTTAATAAATGTGTAGAAACTCTCAAAAAATACTGATAATCATGCTCTTAGCTTGATGAATACTTGATAAAAAGCATTAAACTTAATAAGTATTAATATGAAATATATATACACATCTTATTTATGACACACCTCTAATAAGTGAGTTAAATAAGTCTAAATTAGGGATGTCAATGAGTAAAATATAAGTAGGATATTATACATCTTATTTATGACATCACCTCTAATAAGTGAGTTAAATAAGTCTAAATTAGGGATGTCAATGAGTAAAATATAAGTAGGATATTATAGTATTTGTTTTTATATTTGTGTTTTAAAAAAATTGTCGTACTCGAGTCTATATCTATATAGATATCAATTTTTAGAATTTTTTTTTGCAATAATTAGGTATTAAAAAAAATTTCGCAAATAACCACGTTTCGAAAAAAATTACGCAAATAACCATGTTTCAGATGACTCCCCAAAGGAGGAGCCATCTCACTTGGCGCCTCCACCAACATTTTTGCCCTAGGCGCCATCTCATTTGGCGCCTCCTCTCTCTTTTAACCAAGTGAGATGGCGCATGCACTTTAAAAGTGAGAGGAGGCGCCATCTCACTTGGCTCCTAGGGCAAAATGCTGTTTTTATAAATAATTCGTCCGTTTCTCCGTCATTTCTCACACTTTCTCGCACTGTTTTCTTATTTTTTACTCTGTTATTTGCGTCATGACATCGCCCATGATTTTTACCAGAGATGGTTACGTTATCTTCTCCGCCACGAAACCTGCGATGAAAATGAAATTCTGGCACATTCACTCCATGGAGCGTCTGAAGCATGAGTTGATGCGATGGCTAGATGGAGACATTGTGAAGGGGGGAAAATTCGAAGGATCCAGCGAAGACGAACAACAACCTCACATGCGACTGGAAGACCTAATGTATGGTTGGAGGAAGTCAAAACAGACAACGACGTAATGTTGATGATGCATGGGTCAGATGAAATTGTTTTAACAGTTGTAATTTCATAGACGGAATATCGTGTTTTTTTTCTAGTACGCGTAATATTTATTGTAGCAAGTACTGTTAACGAAAAACCCTTAATGTTTACAACATAATTAAGGAAAGATTTTATGTATTACAATTTTTATGTGGTCGAGGCAGACGCCCGATTCGGACAATTTTTGCGATTGTGTCCGACCTAACGGCATAAACCACACTTTCTTTCCAGCTTGTCAAGGTCGTCCATTTCGGTTGTGATGCACTTACTTTTGGGATGACCCTTCTTGTTCCTTCGCATTTGGTCATTGTGCCACACTATTTCGCCGTCGTATGCAGGTCAATAATCTGGTTTTGCTACCAAAGGAAGGCTGTTGTTGTAAACGTTGAGCAACGTTTTAGATTTGTAAATGTGTGACAGAAGTTGTAGCGTGTCTTGATGGGTATAAGCACAAGCGGCAATGACATGAGAGCAAGGCATACAAAAGGCTTGAAACTTGCCACAATCGCACCAACGAGAAGGTAGTACAACCCTATATTCTTGTCTTGGCAGGCCTTCGTTGTGGTCGATTGTCTCTTTCACAATGAAGCTGTGGCTGTGTCGGTCAAACCGTATAACCATATGAGTGTTGGCTTTGGCACTTTCTGCCTTAATGTACTTCATGCAGCTTTCACTCCATAGTTGTCCAGATTGCAACACCATATTCCATATTTCACCTCTTTTGGCTAACAA